TCCTTACTAAGCTATCGAAAGTTACAAAAAGCTGGCTAGAATTTCTTTATACGAGACCATTAACTATCAATTTATTCAATGGCGTTGCTAAGAATTTGGTGGAAGTATTTTGATATGCATAATGGTATGTATTTCAGGCAATCTAGTTTTAAATTAAAGAAATAAGCGTAAAATGCAGAAAAGTCTCCTCTAATTAAGCGGATCTACAACAAAAAAAAACCCATATAGTTTTATAACATATATTTCGATATCTCATAATTTGAACTAATTTGAAAAAGTGAAGAAAATCGTCTGAATTCACGGATTTGAGATAAACGCGGTGACGATACTGTAGGGGAGGTCCTGCGGAAAAATAGCTCGACGCCAGGATGATAAAAAGCTTAAGATCTCGCGCGTCTGGATTTTGTTGTTGGATCGAGTTTTGAGGGAGTTTCTGATGATTGTATTTAGGCAGACTACGAAGTTTCATATATTTGCTTTCATCGATGAGCAATATCCACATAGTTGTGGCGCTAAGATTATAGACTTGACAAAGTGTCCTCATTCCTTACTAAGCTATCGAAAGTTACAAAAAGCTGGCTAGAATTTCTTTATACGAGACCATTAACTATCAATTTATTCAATGGCGTTGCTAAGAATTTGGTGGAAGTATTTTGATATGCATAATGGTATGTATTTCAGGCAATCTAGTTTTAAATTAAAGAAATAAGCGTAAAATGCAGAAAAGTCTCCTCTAATTAAGCGGATCTACAACAAAAAAAAACCCATATAGTTTTATAACATATATTTCGATATCTCATAATTTGAACTAATTTGAAAAAGTGAAGAAAATCGTCTGAATTCACGGATTTGAGATAAACGCGGTGACGATACTGTAGGGGAGGTCCTGCGGAAAAATAGCTCGACGCCAGGATGATAAAAAGCTTAAGACCTCTCATTCTTATTACTTTTTCAATATATGAAAACGAAAAAATGAAAAAGAAAAAGGTCGTCTTATTCAAAACCCCAATTATGACATCCCTTCTCTCCCACTTCACACCTCGGAACGCACCGTTCTTATAGAGATAAACGCGCTTTCACATCTTCTTAACCCGAAATGGCTGGGGAGAGGAGTCCCTTTTTTGAGGGTACTCCCGGTAACATATCCAGTGGAGACGAGGTGGGGCCTGTAGCACAGAGGATTAGAGCACGTGGCTACGAACCACGGTGTCGGGGGTTCAAATCCCTCCTAAGTATTTATACTAAAAACAAACAAATTTTTAGCTGATATATTTATTATACCATTTAAGGGTAAAATGTCAAAAAACCTCTTGTGGTTAAGCAAACCTATAAAAAAGCACCCTATATTTTAAAACATACACTCTAATATCCCGTGGTTTGAACTAATTTGGAAAAACTGACGGTTACTCCTTTATTTGTCCCCCTCCCCCGCTAAAATATTTAACATTTTTGTTCTTATCAACTTTGGCCCTAATATTTTTGAAATTCTCTTTCTTATCTATATTGTCCCCTCTAAAATTTTCAATCTGTCTTTTTTAGTTACACTAGTAATAGTTCACTTGCTTTGCACGTGATTGTAATATCTTAAAATATAGGGTTAAAAACAAAAAAGCTCCCTATGGTATATGTAATATATAGAAAAGCCCCCCGTAGTTTCAAAACATATAAAATGACACCTCATGTTTTGAACTAAATTGTAAACTAACAGAATTTGTTAAACTTAACGAAAATGACGGTTTCGGCCGTTAAACTTATCAAATTTCGTTAAATTTACCGTTAAATTTACCATATTCTATTAATTTTTCCGTTAAATTTACCGGATTTCGTTAAATTTAACTAATTTTATTAGTTAACAATTTAGTTCAAAACATAAGGTGTCGTTTTGTATGTTTTGAAACCACGGATGACTTTTCTGTGTATTAGATATGCCACATGGGTTTTTTTTTGTTTTTAACCCTAAAATATATTATTCTTTAGATACTAAAAATTTTTTATGAAATTTTGATCATCAACATCATAATATAGTATTTTTATGTTATTTATTTTTTAAACTAGTTACTTTTAAAAATTTTATTAAATGAAAAGAGACAGAAAACATTCTAATATAGTTGACATATCCCTTAGGATTAAATTTGAAATCATGAACCAAATACTTTTTGATTTAGAGTTTGAACTCTAACATATCAAATATTGGTAATATCATGTTTTACCAAAATTATTGTATATTCATGATTCTATTGCATATGAACCACAATCGTCACAATTTTTTTTAAACGAAGAATATAATTAAGTTAGAAAAATAAAGATACATGTAATTTGAATTCTTTGTATTATGTTAATTCTATTTTGTCAATAATGGAGTATAAATGATCCACAACATAAAGTTTTTTTGGTTTGTACATTCTAATAATTAAAATTTTATAGATAGAGATAGTTGGAGTTTTTCTATTTTCCTTTTCTTTTATTCACATTTTTAGCACAATCCAATGCGAAGCAAAAGCAACAAGTCTACTTTTTTCATATGAGCACAATATTTTTGGTTTTAGTATTATTTTTTTTATGATCAAGGAATTGGAATGAGAATTGTGGCTAATTAACAATTTTAATATTAATTTTTTATATTGTAGCGTTTTATTTTTTAATTGCCAACTTTTAATCCATAATCACTATCATTATTATTAATTATCGGAATGCACTAAATGTCAAATTACAATTGTCACCCTGAATGAAATTTACTTAATTTTAAAGTTTTTCATTTCATAACAGCTTCCATTATTCATTAATATTGCAATACAATAAATATATGTAATCATTAGAAAAATAATGGTATTTGGACATCACCAAAATAATTTGGATATCATTTTCAGTTTATCATTTTTCATTATAAATTTACTCTTATTATAATTCTTATTTTATCATTCGAGATGGCTTCTGGCTTCTAGCTTGATGGATGGATTTGGTTTGCTCAAACCAATACAAATGAAGCATTACTATTTTATTGTCAATAACACTCTGTTTGTCTTCCCCTAGATATCAGTGATTTGGATGTTGACTTTGGTATTATTTGAATAGTATTCTAGTTTTTTAATTCATTTGCTATTTACTTTATGTCATGTTATAAATAGTTTTCAATTTTTTTTTAGTTTTTCTTTTTTTGATCGGTTAATATTTAAAGATAATAGTGGTTTGTATGGTGCTATTTCAGATTTCTTTTTTTTTTTTTTCAGTTTAATACTGCTATTTTACTTATAAATGTGTCATCATTTTTTGTATATTAAAATTTCATTGGGTGCAACATGAAAAATTCTTCATATTGGTAAAAAGTGCATAATTGTAAAATTTAATTGTGATATTTGTATGAAGATATATAGATGAATAATGGTTCTCTTGTCCTTGTATGTTTCTCCATTTTCTAGAGAGTATCTATTTTTTATTTTTTTACAATCTCAACTAATAACTAATGAGAAATTTTTCAGGTTTCAATTAAGAAATTTTGATACGTATAATAAATGGATATGGAGTCCAAGGGTAGGTAAATAGTTTTTAATGAGCAATTTTTAATTGTAATTACCAATACTATTAAAATGTAATCAATTGGAGTGTTTTTATTTCTTTTAATTAGTGCCGTATTAAAATGTAATAATTCTAATTAAAAGACATGAGAGAAATTTAGGAATAACAAAAACTAAGATTAAAAAGTGCTTACATTTACACTCTCTAATACCAACATTCATACTTTTTATATAGTAATGTAAAATTTACTTGTGATATTTGTATGAAGATATACAGATGAATAAGGTCTCTTGTCCTTGTATGTTTCTTCATTTTCTAGAGAGTATCTATTTTTTGAAATTGAATTTTTTTTTTTTTAGAATCTCAACTAATGACTAATGAAAAAATTTTCATACTTCAATTAAGAAATTTTAATACGTATAATAATTGGAGATGGAGTCCAAGGGTAGATAAATAGTTTTTAATGAGCCATTTTAAATTATAATTACCAATACTATTAAAATGTAATCAATTGGAGTGTTTTATTTCTTTTAATTAGTGCCACATTTTTTTTAACAAGCTCTTTTATTCATAAGCCAAGCAGTTACATGAGAGGGACTAGTGCCACATTAAAATGCAACAATTCTAATTCAAAGACACGAGGATAATTTAGGGATAACAAAAATTAAGATAAAAAAGCGCTTATACTTGCATTTCCTAATGCCAACGTTCATACTTTTTATACAGTAATGATAATGATTGGCCTCTCTTACTAAATTAAGAATTCTTAATTCTTAAGCTTCACAAAAGAGTTAGATCTAATTAAGGTTAATTATTGATATAAATCCAAAACAAACTCTTTTAACGTCGCTAAACTACCACTATATTATAGCATAATTTAGATGTCAAAATATAATTGAAATAACGAAAAAGTATGTTTAACATAAGCACTTTTTTATTGTAATATTTTATGTGATGTCGAAAATTGATCCCTCTAACCCTGAGGTCTTGACTCCGCCATTTAAAAAAAAGAGGGGGAAAGGAGAGAAAAAGGGAGAGGAAGCAAGATGGCAATGGAAGGGAGAATGGCGGCAGAAAGTGAAGGGCAGTGGTGGCAATTGGTAACCACAAAAGACTTTTCCACATGTTTGCTTAATCACATAGGATTTTTCCGCAGATTTGCTTAATCATGGTGGTTGTTAGAGGTTTTTTTTTTTTTTTTGCTTGTATATGTTAGGATAATTGTGTCATTTAATGTCCTCCTGTTACTTTTGATGATTTCCACCAGTATTTCATATGATTTGAAACTATAAGGAACGTTTTTGTAAGTTAAACTTAACCACAGAGAACTTTTATAAAGCATAATGAACTTAATAATGTCAGCTCTGATTCAAGATTCCGCGATTTCTGGACATCAAAACTTTGTTTTCATAAGAAGGCATAACTAATGAAACCTTAATGTCGTTGATGAGGTTTGGTGTAAAAAGTAAATGACACATGCAAGCCCAGAGCTGCTCAATGCATAAAAATTTTATATATATGTGTGTGTGTATATATATAATGTAAGAATTTATGATGATAGTCTCATCACAATCTGTAATTCATTCTGAGAATTTCCATGGCTTCTGCCACTCCCATGTGAACTGTAATAGCCGTTGATCGCCTAACTCTCCAACTGAAGAATTAGCAATGCCTGCTGGCTTGATTGTTCATATCGGCAAATAGATTTCTTTCTGCTCCCACATCAATTTGTCTCCCCATGCCACTGACGATATCAGTATGCACTAATGATGTCTTGTTTGCTCACCACAAATAGAAAGGGCAACAAGCTTAGACGGATAACTTTACCAATGATCACAAGAATACGACAGATAAAAAGAAGGAAAGCAGTGAAAAGCGGCAGATGAGTTGTGAATAGCTTTTAGATATTATATACATTTACAAAGAATGCCGAGCTGCATTTCAATCTTGTTAAGCAAGGTAGTAGCTTCATTGAAAGGTGCCGAGCTGCATTTCAATCTTGTTAAGCAAGTTGGTAGCTTCATTGAAAGGTTCCTGCACAAATACAACTTCATTTGTACTTGACCAATAATATGTCACAGTAGGTTCCCACACAAATACAGCAAACTGACATTCAAGAATTCAAACCACATCTACATATATATGTGCAGTCAAAAGTCAGACCCTAGACAAATACATACTTACAGGGCAGAGGCAGAGCCAGTAGGAGAGCAGGTAACCATCCTCCAAACTACAAGGATCCACAGCATTCGTATCCCACTTTTCCAATTCACTACATGGGTCTTCAGGTCATTCTTTATAGCTATCAAAGCAGTAGCCACAAATACTGAAGAATTATAGTACACTGCCATTAGACACATTTCTGTTCTTTTTTTAACTTTCACAACCAATTAAAGAGGGAAAGAGGGTAGGAGGTAGACTACAAGCAATTGAAGATTGTGACTTTGAAGCAATGAATTCAAGATTCTTATCAGGACTTTAAAATGAAACAAAATTGCACTTCGATTTGCATACCAAGTGGAGAAGTAGAAAAGGCAAACAAATACTAATAAAAAGCATGGCAAAAGAAGTTCTTTTAGGATTACAAATCTCACAGGAAACAGAACCTCATGATAATTATGCAACTGAAACTAACTTTCATAGTTTAAACCAATGGTAGAAAGTGAGGCAGAAGAGCTATGTACTAAAATGAAGGCCACCAATACCCATTCCCCAAAACAGAGCACTGCATTCCATATTCAAAAAAAATAAAATAAAATTCAACAATTTTATCTCCTCTGTGAAACAAATACTTGCTTAAACAAACCACCGCAGCCCACAACAACAGAACCACCCATTTTAATGTGCATCCATTCATTCATTCATTCATTTCTTCAACTCAACATTGCCTACTTTGAAAAACTTTCATGACAGCAGTACCCTTTTTAGAAATTCGGCAATTCCCGAAACTTTAATATTTATTCAGAACCTTATTCTTAAACGCATTACAAGAAAACCAGTATTTTAACAAATGACAAATCAAGTCAAGAATTTCCAAATTTGAATACTCAAAGCCTAATCCATAAACATAAATTTACCATGCTTGTGTGAGCAACATATCTAGTTAGAAATGTAACTATCAAATTAAAAAACAATTCTTCCACACAAAATCCAAATTAGAATCAATAGTCCGAGCAATCTGAAGTAGAAACAACAGTCCAAGCAAAAAAAAAAAAAAAGGTTCTTTTTCTAGAAAGTCATTAAAACCATCAATGTACAGAAGTAGCCTGAGCTTCTGGTGTTTGGTAAGAATTAATAGAGAGATTAACGATCAGAACAGAGCAGATTTGAAGACTCAGCTTTAGGGTATGGAGAGTAGAGGTGGATAAAGGAGAGGAGTAGGGGCAAAATCAATGAGGAGGAGGAATGGTGGGATAACAGGCAGATAAAATTTGGTAGCTAGTGAGAACTGGAAGAATTCAATATTTTGCGGTGGAAGAGAGAAAAAACTACAGCATCTAAAAGACTGAAACAGAGAAGAAGAGGCAAGCAAAATGCCAAAAAGGGTATCAAAAAGAGCAAAACCAAACCGCACCGCACCGCACGGTTAACAACTTGAATCCCAAATTCTGTCAGCAACCTCAGAAGACGAAAAAGCAAGTCTTTTCTTACCCTGATCAATTACTAAACCAAGGGCAAAATGCGTATGAAAGGGCCGCATGGTCAAAAGGCAACCAAACAAAAATACCAACCATACAATCCTCACTCAACACCGATCAATCAGTATGCACAATGCAGCCAAATTACGATAACACTCATGCACTCAAGGTGCCAATGAGGGACCATGGATCACAGTTCATAACTCATACTTTTATTCTGTTAGGATTAGACCAACATGCCAACACAGTGATACAACACGAACAGCTGAGAATCACATCATTCCCTTCCAATTACTGCAGAAAGAAGAAAGAAGAACAAATCTCTAAGAAATCAACATTTTTCAGATATTGCTTTCCCTATTTTAGGAATGCCAATAAAACTATCAATTTTCTTTTGATTTTCATTATTATATCAGTATTAAGGAAACACCTATATGAAGTGAACCTCTTAAAAGTACAAAGCTGAAAACAAACATATTTTGTCTTGCAATTGGAAATCTAAGTGGAATAAGTGCTTGGATCAATTTGTTCAGACAAAGAACTGAAGATGTGTTTGTGTTGTGAAATAATCCATGATTTTGAGCAAAAGATGCTTTAGCTAGTTTTAACCTTTTTTTGCCCCACTTTACTACTCTAATGATTTGCACCCATGACTATAACAAAGAGTGTAATAGCGGTTTATTTCAAGGAGTCAGTGTCTAAGATTTTGTTATTATTGCAACAAAAGATCAATTTGTGCTGGCAAAGAATGAAAACTCAACACAATGTGCATGCAACCACAGGTTCCCAAATTTCATTCAAGGAACTTCTTGCAGATAGATTTGAAATGTAACAGTCTGTTGCCCATTCAGAAGCTTGATCGAATCTATGTTTGGTCTACATCCTACAAAAGTATGAATTCTAATCAATTTCCCACGTCTCCACACTTGTAGTTGGCATTCAACGGAAAAAGATTTGAAAGAGCTAGAATTCTAAATATGCAATCCACAAGGTTTTGAAAATGCATATTTAAATATATAGGCCACGATATTTCCCTATTGTATCAACATAGCTATAGATAGAAGATTGTTAATACTTAATACATCAATGTGCAATTAGGGAAAATTGTAACCTGAGCTTTCTCCTTAACATCGCCCATAAATATGACTATCAGGGAATGGACAGCTGTTAAGAGGCATGTTTCTTAAAAACAATTTGTAACGACGACTTTAGCCACAACACCGTAACTTGTTTCATTAGATGAAATTCACTTTTGACACTTCCATTATAAAATTTCCACTTAAATATATTTGAATCTACAATGGTCTTAGGGGTTAAAATACTTTGCACATATCTACCATCCAAGTAATAAATTGCTTCAGAATGTCACATGCCGAATGATAGTTCCACCCCCATAGACTTGCTCACATAGTCATCTACCTGTATATTTGGGAGTATATACCCATATATTGAAGTATGTATAAGTAGACATAACCTTGTGAGTGTTGTTGGAGTTTGTAACACAACCAGGTTTCAAGTGCCAAAAGCCATTCGGGTGTGTATGAAAAAGTTTGTAACGTAAATGACGGTGGAATACAGGAACCTCGAATGAGCATAAGTTGGTTTAACTAAGCATTAGCATTAGCGCACAGTTTTATTCAGCCTCCAGAGGTGGATCCTTTTGGTGCAAACACATCAGCACCACCAAAGACACGTGTGTAGCCTCACTCTTGCATGTCAAATTACTATCATATCTGTAATTTTTTCCCCACATAGTTCCAATTCAATTTAAATCTTACCAAAGTGCAATATTTATTGTAATTTTAACTCCAACTACTCTATGTTGTCTTCTTGCTTCAGTCCCTCTCCTTTATAACAGTCCCTAGGTGCTCTTCCATATTCACCAACTTGACTCTGATCAATATTAGCTCTTCTTCATAAGTCCTGTTTTTGCATCAAGGTTCTCTGATTTGATTCGTATACTAAGGTAAGCTCAAAGAAAAAACACACACACACAAACATAATGAGAATAGAAAAGGGAAATGTTTCTCGCAACTTATCCACAAACGTGATAACAATTTACCTGCATGTTTAATAGAATTTGCTAACATTTTGTTTGCTTCTTTGCTAAGTTGGTTCCTAGTTCTTGAGCGACTTTTATGCCATTTGAATTTCTGGCCAATTAGTTTGGAAACATCTCGTATTCAGTCTTTTTCTTCCTTATAAGTGTGATGGTAGGTATGTAAGGTTTACACATCCATAAAAATTTGATTCTCTAGTTTCGCGGTTTATGTTTATTATTGCCTTTTCTGCATTATGGCTTTTCCGGGTTATGGTCTTCTATCCTTGAACTTTTCTGTAAATCAGGGAGAAAACAGATCATGATTACAAGTGTACTAGACAGCTAGAAATGCTACCATCCTTGTCTCCTCTATCTATCCATCCAAAATTACACAGAGACACATGTATGCAATATGTAACATGAAATTTTTTCACCTTTGCATTTACTAGGTTATTTCTTCCTTTTTTTTCTTTTTTAAACAATCATATCCTTGGTTGGTTAGATTTCCTTTTTCAAGATCATTCTTGGAGTAGTTATCTTTTGAGATCCAAAATTTTCTTCCAAGCTTGTATATCTGGTTCTAAAGGTTATTGATTCCTATCTTGTGTTTGCCTCATATGTTGGTGATTTACTGACTTCCACCTGTTTTTTTTGCATCATTTCTAACTTGATCAATTTCTGTCATAAATGAAGAATCTCAAGAATTTCCACATGTCATCACGGCCACCGCCACCTCCACCAGGACCCCAAAAACCACTTGACGACTTCAATCTGCCCTCTAAACGCCAAAGGTTCGATCACAAGCAGAGCACTAATGACCTTAACCAAGGGGACAACTTGCCACAATCATCATTGTCATCAAAGAAGCAACCTTTCTGTGGCAACACTACTGCTTCAGGACAATCAACTCTAAAGAAATCTTATATCCTTGATTGGTTGCATGGAAGATTGCCAGAACCCCCTACAGGAAAAACTTCAAGTGAATCATCTCCTAAGCCTGATCTGAACACCACCGACTCTAGCTCAAATGTGTAACTTGGACATTAATCTTTTTCTTCAGCAACTTTGTCTTCAGTGGTTATTTATCTGCTATAAAGTTTTTGTGAAATAATGTAGTGTGGTCTTCACACCACATGAACTAGTTTTTATGGGGAACAAGGACCTATACTTTTAAGAATAAAACTTTTTTGTCGATGTCCAATAGTTTAAGAATATTAACAAGCCTCAACTTTTGGAATTTCCTACACTAGCCATCCTTGTACAAAATGTTTCTAAGCAGACCAGACAAAATGCAATTTCTTTTCCTTTTTCTAAGTTTGGATGGCTGACACTGAGTGGTCCAATCCATAAGTATTAAATTTCAGAATTCAAAAGTTTTGTATTCTGAACTATCCCATGCCTGATTTATTAATATGATGTTTCAGTATTGCAATATCCAGCCGTTCATGTATGCTTAAACCTCAAAATCCAACCAAGATTGAGGATTATTCACATGTAAGCGTGTACAAGTAACATATTCTGACAAATTTGACCGGGTCAATGCAAATTCATTACTTACCTTAAACTTGTAAATTCATGTATGTTCAGCTGACACGTTCTTTTGCCTTATGGATGAGCATAATTCCTAAGATAATGAGACATTCCTAGAGAGACCTGTTTGTTATGAAATAATATTTTAAAGGCAGGTGCTGTTGGAATTTTACAATGTAGCAAGTCTTTCTGAACATTGTTCTTTGCTGAAGCTTTGAAATGGAATCTCTTTAGCAACAAAGCTTTATTAGAGCAAGGAAAGAGATTAAATCACCACAAGGCCCATAAAATCAATGTCAACAAATTAAGAGCAGCAGAGAAATGTAAAGAATGAAAAAGTGAAGAAGTAGGAGAAAGAGAACATTTCAGCAGTCAAAGGCAGATAATACCTACAAAAACTGAACAAGTCCCAATACCTGGTGAAAAGCTTTCAGTGATTTAGCATAAGCAATTTCGGCAGGAGAGAAAGTACTGCTTCATCGTTCAATTCTAGTGGAGGCAGCAACCTCTTCAATTATGAATATTTTTTTCCTTTCCAGGTTTCCAGCCTCTCATATTACTAGTGGTTGCTGCCCAACTTAGAGTTGGTTCCAAATTTTTTTTTTGAACTTCTTGTTTTTTCATCACTTCAGTTTCAATGTATCAAACCTTCTATGAACATGCTACAAAGCTACCCTGCAAGTTGTCTTTGAGTACCCTGCAGTCCCATAATCCAGCAGTTCAAAAGATTCATCACTCTTTTCACTGCAAAGCTTGTTTCTGCACAAGTAGTCATAGGTAATGTACATAAGAAAATCTAGAAAAAGGATCTTTCCTGCAGTCCCTTTTACATATTTAGCATCTCCATGTATGTCATGGTATGCTCTGTCCAATAGCTTGTACGTTATTTCATCAAACTCAAATTCAATCTGCCTCAACTTCTGCCCCCACATCCAGGCCCTCTGAGGTAAACCTTGCTTGCAAAGATGAGACAACAGGAGATTAGTCGTAACAATATTTGGGACAAACCCCATCTTAAGCAATTTTCCTGTCAAAATCATTGCTCGATCCAATATATCGTTGCAAACACCATTCATTAGAGTGTTGTATGTCACTGTATTTGGAGCTATTCCAGATGAAACAAGCTCATTTAATATCATAACAGCACGGTTCATTCTCCTGCTGCTACAAGAACCATGAATCCATATGTTATAGGTTGTAATATCTGGGTCCCAACCACTGGCATGCATCATATTTACAAGATTATCCACATTCACCATGTCAAATACCTTAGAATATCCACTGATGAGAGTATTGTAAGTAACTATATCTGGAATTATCCCTCTGTGGTGCATTGCCATGTAGGTATCAATTGCTGATTTCATCCTTCCTTGTCTACAAAACCCATTAATGATGATATTCATGGTGAAGACATCTGGAAGAAGCCCACTTTGCCTCATCTCCTTTTCCAAGTTCAATGCCTCGTCCAATTTCCCACAATTACAAAAACCAGCAATTAAAGAATTATAAGTGTAATTGTTAGGCACAAGTCCTTTTCTTTTCATTTCTATAAACCAATCATATGCATCTTCAACAAAATTGGCCTTAGAAAGTCCATTGATGAAGGCAGAAAAGGCAACAGCATCAGGAGCCATCCCTCTCCTTCCCATCTCTTCCCACAGGCTAAAAGCTCCCATGATATCCCCTTTTCTGAAATGTCCATCCAGAAGCACTGTGAAAGCTACTTGGTTTGTTGGAAACTCTTTCTGCATCATCTTATCCATAAGGTTTCTGGCACTTTGAAGCTTCCCTACTTTAGTTAGACCTATCAGCAGAGAAGTAGATGTGGAAGCAGAAGGAGTAAGACCAAATTTTGTCATTATGTTATACACTTCAAAAGCTTTCTCATGCAGTCCTGCTCTGCTGTAAGCACAAATGAGCGAATTGATGGCAATTATGCTAACAGGTATGCCCTTCTCAAGCATAGTCTTCAGTAAGTGCAAAGCCTCATCTAACCTTCCTGCCCAACACAATCCTGAAATGGACATGTCAGATATTGAACAATCAGGAATCAAAGCCATCATAGATAATTCCCTTAAGAACCTGTTGCCATCATCTTCCCTCCCATATTTGTAGTTTCCTGCAACCAAAATGTTAAAAGTTATACCATCAGGAGCAACTCTCATATTCCGCATTTCCTCATAGAGCATATTAGCCTCACCAATTTCTCTTGCCTTTACATAGCCATCCATCAAAGCATTGTATGTCACAGTGCCTGGTGAAACACCCATTTCTTGCATTTCTTCAAACATTTTCCTTGCTTCTACAATGTTGCCCTCCTTGCAGAGTGCATTAATAATTGTAACAAATGTGGCAGTGCTTGGTTCACAACCGCTTTCCGCCATAAAATGCGCCCAATTCAGAGCATGAGATGTCCAGCCTCTCACACAATATGCACTTATTAGCAAATTATGTGCAATAACATCAGGTTCACAACCATACTTCCTCATCAAAAACAACAAGCTTTCTCCTGTTCTAACACACCCTTTTCTACAAAAGCCAAGAATCATCACATTATACACAAAAATATTCGGGCAAGGTCCCCTTTGGATCATATCTCTAAATAACTTCCATACACTACCGTAATCACCAACTCTAATTAGCAGCGCAAAGAAAATGCTAACAGCTGATAAACTTGGTCTAATTCTGACCTCCCTCATTCTATCCCAGATTTTCAATGCTTGGGAACCCATATCTGCATTCACAAACACCCTCATCAAAGAATCAAGAACCGAGAAATCTGACTCATACTTGCTATGCTCTCTCCACATAAACTCTACCAACTCATTACTCCTACATTCACCAATTCTACTAATTACACAAGAGAGAACATCCTGTGCCATCAACCTCAACCCCTCAGCAGCCAAGACATGTGCGACAATACAACACGACTGGACTATGAATTCCGAAGCATCACAGAAGACCAACTTGAAAAATGCAAATGAGACTTCGCGGTTTTCAAATAATTTCAAGATTTCTACAAGCAAATAGGGGCAAAACCTACTGGAAAATCCCTTTAATACAGAATCTTGGTCCTGTTTAATCATTCTTGATAGCCCAATCACAATTTTACGCCGTTCTTTCGAATTTATTACAGTGTTTGGTGAGTTTGATAAGTGCCCCAAAGGGGAAAATTGTTCAAGAAAGTCGAACTTCTGGTCAATAAAGATTATATCTTTACCGTCAAATGAGGTAGTAGAATAAGTACGACTTAAATATGTAAAATGGGAATTAATGGTTGTGAAGGGCAGTGAGAGATATTGAAGGCAATGAGTAGATAAAGTGTGTGATGTTAAGGGAAAGAGGGAAAGTTGGGAAGAGAGACAGACCTTGAGCAGAGCTGTGTGTAAACGGCGCAAAGTAGCAGACATCCGGAGCTTCACCGGAGATGTCGTCGGAGATGGGTTTTCCGACTAACAGCTGTTGAGAAGGGTTTTGGGGGGTTTTAGCTAGTTTACGTTCTCCTGTCGAAACAGTAAGTCACTGAACCAAGCTGCCAAGGGGACTCATATTTTTTACTTTTCATATTAACCCGATTGCCCTTGATCCTATTATATATTCAATTACAAACCCTCACATTTTTCTTCAATTTTCTTTTAACTATTGTAATCCTAAACTTTTTTTTTTTGGGTGGGTGGATATCCACAACTAGGGCTGCAAACGAATCGAGCCGCTCGCGAGCGGCTCGAGTCAAGCTCGAGTCGAGCTCGAGCCAGCTCGAGTCAAACTCGAGCTCGAACTCGAGCTCAAAATATTAAGCTCGGCTCGCGAGCTTGAATATATATATATATTTTTTTATTTTTATTTTTATTTAATAATAAAATTACGTATATTATATATATATTTTTTTTTTATTTTTTATTTTCATAGTGAAATTACGGATATATCCTTAATATTTTATTATTTATTCAGAAAAATATTATTTTTATTTATTTTTTTAAAAAATAAAATAAATTTTTTTATTTTTTTCGAGCTCGAGCTCGGCTCGACTTGATTTGAGTCGAGCTCGAGCTCGAAAATTGCCAGCTCGTCGAGCTCGAGCTCGAGCTCGAGCTTGATAAAATTTAGCTAAGGCTCGGCTCGATTAGCTCAAAGCTCGACTCGGCTCGACTCGTTTGCAGCCCTATCCACAACGGATCAAGCCTTCCGCTAAACCAAACATTTTGCATACAATGTTTTTTAAACAAAATAGTATAACTTTTCTAAAATAAAATATGATTAATCTTGTATAATAATAAAAGTACTATTGGACGCATGTTACATAATTTCAATTTGAATTTAAACTTCACTTTTTGCACATGCGATATGCATTCAATAGCATTAATGTATACACCGTCAATATATACAAAATTAATCTAATAAGAAATTAGAAATTATTCAAAATTAAAATAGTAGAAAGATGGAAGGCCGGAAGAGTTAGTAGAATTATTTAAACTTGAGGGTATGGAAGATGAGATTTTGTGTTTTTTAAACATTGGAAGGAATGTTAGATTTTAGATCCATGAAGGTATATCATTTTGGCTCCAAATTTTATTTTATTTTATTTTTGGAAAATGATATTCTAATACGAGATGCAATGCTATGCGAAAGAAATAAAGTAAAAGTTGATCCACCTTCTATTTTTTAGCTATCATCACATCTGTGTCTACAGTATAGATATCTCGTGCTTTTAGTTACTCCCACATTTGTATTTATCGCATGAACATCTTGTACTTTATAAGTTACTTTTTATAGTTGAATTATTTATTTTAATATCAAAATAAAATAGTAAGGTTGAGGGTTCAAATCCCTTTTCCCCCTTTCCATTTTTCAAATCTCATATCTCCTACGCTAGAAAAACCTTTAAAAATAAAAATAAAAATATTGATTTTTACAATGTGAATGCATAACGTAATATTTCTTTTGTATGGGTTTATTGTTCAAGTACGTTTGATTGGGCCGAACCATCATAATGGTAACCCTTTCTAATGTGGTCCATGTAGGATGTTATTCATGTTTGGATGGTAGTTTTTTAAGGAAAAACTTTTATACTTTTCGTAAACACATTTTTTATTTTTTAATCTCATATATATTAAATTGTTACAGTATACCTTTTTTTTATAATAACTCTAAAAAATAGCAATTCAAACGGGAATTAAAATTTCAAGCCATATGCAAAATTGATGGGCTGAGCTGTTTTCTGGATTAAAGTGAAGTGGCGTTGGACAAACACCGTGTATGGTGGCAAAATAGGCCTCAGCCCATAAGTGCACAAAATGCAGGCTAGTGTTAGAGAATGAGAGAGTGTTCTGTTCTTTGTTCTTTATCTTTTCAATTGTTCTATTAGTGGATTTTTTGCCATAAGTTGGACTCCAAAGAAAACCACTTGCAAATCATGCAACCATTGGAAAAAACACTACTAAACAAAGACAGAGAGGTCAGATTAATGGCAATTATAAAATTCAATAATGTAAGTTGTCCTAATGACACTAGCCTAAAATAATCTTTGCATGTTTAGTACCACATTTTGGATTTCACCCTTCTTGTCAAATTTTCCTGTCCTTTATTTCAGGTAGCTGCCAATGGAATTAGGAGGACTTTTTTCCCCAAGGAACTACTCATATAATAATCACTCTTCGTCAAAGCATACATGGAATTTCAACTTTTAACTCTTAAGCCCCTCTTTCTTGTTTCATCCAATGTCTCCCCACAAAAAAAAGTGTTCAATACTAGCAAGGAAATTAATAAATTTGGTAAATTAAGTCAAGTGGTAAATTTAGTCAGTCAATTCTTTCAAAAAGAAAATACAACTACGGGTTTTTTTTTATTTTTATTTTACCCTCTCATCCTTGCTACGGGTTTTTATTTTACCCTTTCCCCTTATCACTGGACCAACTCCAATAGTTAAATACAGTTGGGATTCTTCCCAAGGAGGAGGAGAAAAACAATGGAAATCGAATATAAACTCGGATGGACGTAGGTAGCTTCTTTGCCATATAATATGGATGGAACATCAACCCCAACAGTTAAATACAATTGGGGTTCTTCCCAAGGAGGAGGGGAAAAAAACAATGGAAATGGAATATAAACTCGGACGGATGTAGCTTCTTTTTATACATGGAACATCAACGTAAAACTATGGAACAAACTAAGTTGTCTACCTCAAATCGACAACCTTATCTGATCAGTATGCAAGGCCTACGATCATAATCCACCGAAAAAGTAAAAAAGAAAGAAAAGGATAGCAAGCCACGGTTTCATTGCCTTTTGGTTCTATTAATGGTGACTCATGATGGGCTCGATTTATTGTCACCAGAATATCCTACTGATATTCAATTAGTAGGACTCCTCCATGACTGCAGATTTCATTATCACCAACAAATAAAGTGCTCAGAATGCGTTCGGTTCACCGAGTCCGCCAGCATAATCTATGTAATCTGCCCTTTGCTAACCATGCAATGCAGAGCAAACAAGAGATAGTTTTCCTCAGTTCATGCTTGTTCTTTGCCCTCACAACAGTTTGCACAGCACATCACAAACCACACAAAACCGTGTCATTTAGAATTGCAGTTTCCCCTTTCTCCTGCTGCTATACAAAATGCAAGTGTCTTGTACAAATATGTAGTGCTGTTCCTCAAGTTGGATTGGATTTCTGGGCAGAGACATACAGTGGTTGAATCCAGCCGAACCCACCCCACGTCACAAAGTTAATTTTCTTAACAGAAGCTTCGCTTGTTAATAATCTGTTCCTGTTTACTTATACCTGTTATACTTATTGATCACTGGAAAGTGAGTAATGGATAATCACGGTTGACAAACATCATGGTGATCGACTACTATTTATTTATTAGCAATGCAATTTTTCTTGTCTTAGCTGCAAACGGATCAAAAGCAATTAAGGTTGAATTTTGAGTGATGATAACGACAGAGCCCTTCAAGCAATATCCATCCATCTCTGATCGGGCATCTTCAATGAATGGGATTAAGATCGTATGTGATCATCCGCCCTCAATGTTATCACTTATCCATCAGTGGTGAAATTGAAAACACACTTGACAAATGATTTCGGAGTTGTTCACGAAAATCCTAGGAATTCCCTGTTTATAGTAATTGACAAGTCTGAAAAGGTCGTGCAGAAACAAACGAGAAGGCCCGTGATTATGTGAAACGTGTTACCATGGATTTCTTTTGCTAGATCAGCATTGAAAATAAACAGTTTATACCAATCGACAAGTCGAAAAAGTAGGGGAGAAATATGAGAAGGCTGAAATGATTACGCAGAAACATATTACCATGGTTTCTTTTGAATAGGTTTGCATTGAAAATCAACAGTATATACTAATTGACTACTCCGAAAAGCTACGGAGAACAGATAAGAAGGTCCATGATGATCATGTAGAAACATGTTACCATGATTTCATTTCAATAGATTAGCATCGAAAATAAACATCATTATGAAGACTGCACATCTCATGCCATCCCACTTCTGGATGCTGGTGGTTGTATAGTACTAAACAAGATTTTCCGAAGGGAAAAGGCAAAGGAAAAAGAAAAGAATCAAAATTTTATGATGGGCATCTCACTCTTCATTTGCTCCTCCCCACCGCTAGTTTACAAGATAATCATCAAACTCAAGCCCTCAATATGGATAGCCCTCCATTATTTGCTTTATTTTTTTTCTTTTTCACCATAAGAGGTCTTAAATAGGCTTTGCAGACTATATGGCAATATTTTGTTTGATTAGGCCACTGCAACTGCACCAGTCCTTACACCTTCATTAGATTCTTTCCTAGAATCAGCTGTTTTTCTGTTGGTGTTTGATGATCTGTTCCATCTTCTCTCATTAGCCTCATCTATCTCTATCTGCTCTTGCCTGCACTCCTGGCTACAAAATGGAGTATTCCCTCTGCAATATTACAAAAACTTCACATCAGATTTCAACTCCTTAATCAAACAATGATGATATCGCAATGAATCTTTTTAAATCCTAAGTTCTCTATTAAGCCATCTTCCCTTGATATTCATCAGAAACATCAAATTAAGTGCACAGTACTACATGTTGAAATGGAAACAAGTTAGCTAACCTGTACATGAAGATGTCACTGTTAGGAGCCAGAGGTCTGTTGCAAAGAAAACAAGAATCAAGAAAATGGGGTTGCTCATCACAGCCAGCAAAGTAAAGTGCAGCTGACTTCATTGTTCAGAAAGCTTCTGAGTTGGAGGTGGGGATGATAGCAGCGTACAAGAGAGAAGTAGAGAAAGCTGGAGCAGAAAGCAAGGAGAGGACCCAGGTTTTATATAGCGGCAGTTGAGGAAAATGGGAAAAGCAAGAAAAAGGGCTATGCTTGAGTGGTATATGGAGCAGGGAAAATTGGTGGTCTAGCCAGTTGGAAGCTTTGGTAATGTTGACAATTAAATGTGTCAACTGTCTAGTTAGTTGTTTCTGGGTTGAGACCGCCAAGTTCAATGGTGTCTAGGACCACAGGAAATTGATATGGACCACCAGAAAAATACTTTGGGAGTGGC